ATATACATCATAATAGCCCTTTGGCTGGGGCTTATAGTAGTCAACACGTATGTTTACTGACCTAGAGCCTTGACAGACTTGTATTCCACTAGTAAGTCTACCCAGAGGTTTAACACAATCGCCAAATACCATGAGAGAAGAGACGATAGATGTTAATACACCATCAAATACCATACTACAGTAATGACCAAAGATATCACCAATAACRGACTCATCTGTTAACCCACTGACAGCAGTGGCTCCACGTGTGAGGGACGCTGAAGATAACATGGTACCAAGTTTACTAAGGCGAGGCGTTGAAGGACCAAGGTTATCCATACCGTAACTAGTGCTGGGTGTTGGGGTAAGGATAGGACTACCTGGAGATGTAATGCGACGCTGTTGGGAGATTGCGACGATCTCCTGGCAATTGAAAAAAGATATATATATCAGTACTTAATAAGAGAACCCTGTCTCGAGGATTYGCAAGTTGCGCATTTTGTATCGGTAAATCCGGGCGGTAAAAATCGACGCCTTGGCACAAAAAACCCACAGAGTTTGATTGTCAATGATGACTTGCGTCAAAAAAAGTCATAATTAAGTAAGCCCACCTGTAGCGCATTCTCCACCTCTTTCACCAGATCATACAACCCCTTGGCTTGTCCTCGAACAGCTTTTCCTTCTACTTCAACAAACTTGTCAACAGTCCAGATCTTTGAATAAGCCAAGTTAGGGTCAAATAAAATAATCTTTTCGATTTTCTTGATCTTCTTTTCTACACCATCTTGTATCACCTGGTTGATGTTATCCACAATATCCCGTAGCCTATCGGTAGCKGAGTGTACTTGGTGTAAGTATGCATCAATGTTCATGCTGTTCCAGTTCAGYGTAGACAGGCCAGGYTGTAGGTAGTGTAGTACTGATTCCATATGAGGAGTTAACAGGCGAGTCAGAGGTGCAGGGACGCTAGAACACACTTGGTAATAGTCTTGCAGGATGAGCTCCAGGGACTGTTTGTATTTCTTGAGACGGGATTCCTGTTTCAAGAATACCCATGCGTTAGATAGAATGGTCTTGTTGCAGGATAATATYATACAAGGTCATGCRAACAAACATGTCACRCATTCGCCTGTCGTCTTATTGCAAGATAATATTATACAAGGTCCTGCAAACAAACATGTCACGCATTCACCTGTCGTCTTATTGCAAGATAATATTATACAAGGTAATGCAAACAAACATGTCACGCATTCACCTG